GATAATTTTTACATTCTATTTAAACGATTATTGATCTATTTATGCTGTTTTAAAATCAAAAGATTACTTTCTATTTTTTCATATTAATGAAACAATAATTAAAATTTTTAAATATTATAAGTAAATTTCTACCCACTAATTCATACAATAAACTCATGTTTTCACTATCTGATACTTCTAAATCACAAATATTATCTTACATCCTTTTCAAAATTTTAAATAACTCATTAAATATTATTTATTTCACTAAAATTATTACGTCTTCTTGTCAATACTAATTTAAATCAGCAATATCTAACAAAAAATAATCAAATAATATTACTCCCTAATTCATTATTTAGATAATTAAATATTTTTAAATCATTTTTAAAAATATTTATTACTATCTATTTTCCAATAAAAAAACTTATTCGCCTCTTCATAATATATGTATATTTTACACTCTATTTTATATATTAAAGTTAATTCAGCATTTATTTTCTCAACAAAAATAATTCTAAAATATTAATTACCTTCTATTTTGAATATGGAAGTTAATTCAGCATTTATTTTTTCATCAGAAATAATTCTAAAATATAAATTACGAACTAATTTGAATATGAAAGTTAATTCATCATTTATTTTCTTATCAAAAATCATTCTAAAATATTAATTACTATCTATTTTGAATATGAAAGTTCGTTCAGCATTTATTTTCTCATCAAAAATCATTCTAAAATATTAATTACTTGCTAATTTGAAATGAAAGTTAATTCAGCATTTATTTTATCATCAAAAATCATTCTAATATATTAATTACGGGCTATTTTGAATATGAAAGTTAGTTAATTCAGCATTTATTTTGTTATCAAAAATCATTCAAAAATATAAATTACCGTCTATTTTTAATATAAAAGTTAATTCAGATATTTATTTTCTCATCAAAAATCATTCTAAAATATTAATTACATGCTTTTTTGAAAATGAAAGTAAATTTGAGCATTATGTGATAAAAACTTTACATGCTATTTTGAATACAAAAGTAAATTTAGTATTTTTTAAAGGAAATGAAGAATGATTACTATCTATATTAGAGAAATAGATGAATTTAGTGTTTGCTATAAATAAAAATGTAACCCTCTAAAAGAATATGATTATGAATTTATTATCATGATTTTCAAAGTTATTTACTTCCTTTTAAATAATGTATGTTGGATTTGTTCAAATTTACTGAATTAAATTACATCTTTTTTTGTGAGCTAAAATAGATTAAGATAATTTAAAAAAGGAGAAGAATAATTAAAAAGTAATAAATATTGCTATTCCCTGATAATTATTTCGGTAGTAGGAAATAAATATTTAATATAATAATAAATATTATTTAAGAAATTAAAAAAAAATTTAAAATAATGATGATAATTCTTTAATTAATAAATAATTTTCAAAAGGAACTAACTACATGCTATTTCTTATTATATTAAAATTAATTACTTTTTTTGAAGTAAACTGATCTCAAGCTTATATTTTCTTTTTCATAATATTTTATTAGTTTCTATTAAAAACTTATTTTTTTAATTTATAGTTAATTTCCTTCTTTTGGCAATTTATCTTTCTTTTCCTATTTTTTAATTTCTTTAAAAATAACATGTTACTTGTCCTTCTTCTTCATCGTTGGCATAGTCATAATTTAAAGTTAATTCATTAATTAATTCTAAGGTTATTCTAATTTGGTGAATAAATCTTTAATTGTTTTTTCTTATTCATTAATTTTTTATAAAAGTTAGAAACTTGTTTTCTATAATTCTTCTATTTTTGCCTCCTTATTTACAAATTATTTTGAATAATTGAGGATTTTTTGAATAAAATATGTTAATTAATTCACATATTATCTTTTTTGATTGTTTTCTTTTAATTCTTAGTTTAAGGTCTGTTCGTTTTTACTTAAAAAAAATTAACAAAAAAGATAGATTAGAATAAACAAATAAATATACATAATTGGGTAAAACTTATTAGACAAATCTCTAACAACTCAATTTCATTTTTGAGCAAACTTGTGAACTGCTGAGTGTTTTCATCTATCATCT